GGCGTCCAAGAGCGCTTGTGCGGGCCCCTCGGCTCCAGCTCATTTCCAGATTCTACCACGCAGAGCATTGCAATTTTGTTCATTATCCCATTGGGGGCGTTCCAGGAGCACCTGCGCTTCCACCAGACTTACCAGGTGACGGCCCACCGAGGCCGCCAGCTTTGGACGATGGCGACGCAGAGGGCCCTGATGGGCCAGACGGGGAAGATGGAGACCATGACGACGATGACGGCCCAGCTGGCGGCGGTGGAGGCGCCCCCCTTGGCGTCGGATTCCAGCGCGATTCTGAAGAGGTTACGTTGATGCGCCAATATCTTCAACATGCTTTGCAACCAATGGAATACATATCAGTGCCGAACAATCGCGTCGGGTTAGATGAGCCTGAGTTGTTCGTGTTCCAACTGCTGAGCATAGAGAGCCGCGCCATCCTGGTGCCGACCTTCCTGGACAAGGTAACGGAGAAGTGCCTCGTCAGCTCCACCGTCCAGCCGATGGAGTTGTGGAGGGACTTCGGGCGTCTCAAATGTATGGACATTTTGGCCAGGGGACGTAGCCAGATTCGATAGCTTACGCATTCCGCCCCCCATCATATATCCTGAGCTTTTGCCAGCGAGTTGCTCTGATTCCCCGGGGGTGCGATGATGGGGGCAAGGGTCAGCGAGGAGGGCAAGGCCCTGCATGAGGGAGGGGTCAGCTGCAGGGCGTGGGTAGCCAAGTACAATCGTTTCGCTGAGTGGGCCCCGCACGGGGCCGTCTGAACCCCCTCCCTGCCAGCCTCGAGCGGCCTCGCTGGGGCCAATGGGAAAATCAAGTATGGCCCTGGGATCCTGAAAGGAGGGGTGATTGCGCAGCTTCGGCAACACCTCCACAGGACCGCAGTCGCGGTGATGACCATCGGCATCTCGACGTGTACCAGTTAGAGGATCCAGAGACGATCGATATCATCTCTCTTGTTGGCGTGGACCCCGCTCGCCTAGATCGCATCCTGACGTGGCGAGTGTCCGAGTCTGACACTGAAGGATGCCTGAGTCTGGAGTCGCCGCAAGTCGCGACGCCGACGCTTCCTCTCAGCAACAAGAGCGTGCCCGTCCTTTGCCTCGTGAAGGCGCTTGAGGACGACGGGTTCGCAGCCGTCCGTCGAATCGTTCAGCACGAGCCTGGTGATCCAGTGCGCGTCTTTGATGCGAGGAAGCTCGCCAGCCAGCGGGCGTACCTGCAGTGCGTCTTAGCCAGGGACTTCATCCATGGCAAGGGCGTGACGTTTTCGTCTGGGAAGACGTTTCAGTTTTACCGTCTGTTGTTGAGGGAGCCCGCCGCTGCTGACGCGTCTTTGTCAGCCAAAGCGCTCAAGAGGAAGTACCAGGAACTCACTGGCGATGCTGTGCCCATTGGGGCGCTGGATCGGCGACCGATGCCGCGGCTTGCCCTACCGCCAGCTGGGTTACCAGCACCAGCACTCGAGGATGACGGCATTTGTGGAGATGATGGCGCTGTCCCAGATGATGCGGCCCCTCTTCCTGCTCCTGTTGCCGACTTCCCTGAGGCAATCGCGGATGCGCCTCCGCCGCCTGCTGGACCAGAGAGTTCCAACCATCCCAGCAGTCCCAGTTCCGTCGCAGGTTCACGGGTACGTCTCAAACATTTCAGAGGGAATGTCATATGTATATCGTTTGAGCCTTTCCGCGTTTGGAGGAGGGGAAGGAGGATAAGGAAGAGGACCGTGCACAATGCAGGATGGGAATGATGGATGGCTAAATGAGGGCGAGCTGACATTACGGAGCGATGCTGTGAAACTGAAGCCACTATCATTAACACACCCTGGGGGAGATAAGGGATGAGGGGCGCGCGGGTGGACGAGGTGAAGTGACATTTTCCCAGGGTTGATATGACATGCAGCCTCAGGATTGTTTGGCATCCCCGCCAGCCCATCCAGATACGATGCGCAGCGACAAACTTAGGACCATATCGCTCTACCAGCAGGTGGAACGCCGTATCTATCTTGTTCTGATCATCGCGGTGGCTCCTAGATGCACCCTGGTATCTCGTCCAAATCTTACTGGCGATAAGTGTAGCTCAATATGTTTCAGCTGGCGCCCGACTGAAGGGTACCTTCCCCAGGTGACGACGCTGGAGGGGACGAGGCGCCAGCGCCGCCACTCCCGCCACTCCCCGACATCGGCGAGCTCAAACAAGAGAACCATTATAGGAAGGGCAAGCTGTACACGGGCTGGCGGGTCACTTGTACGATCCACGAGGGTTGCAACAGGTTTCGATCCGATGCATTGTGGCTGGACGAGTTTGGAATTCGCAACTATTACTACTATTTGGGTTGTTGGCTCCGACGCGGTGGCGAGTGCACCCGCGACGAGCATAGGGCTTACTACCCAACGCTTGCGGATGTGCGTGCCTACAGAGACAGTTTGTGAACAGTGGGAAATGAAAATCTCTCGAGGACGATGGGGTCCTAAGCTCCCCCCGTGTTTCCAAGACTCGCCCTCGCCTCAGGGGGGCCTCGTAGCGCGTCGTCTCTCATGGTCGTGTCGTCTTCGTCGCCCTCTCCCTTGGCTCCCCCTCTCGTGCGCTCTCAGCGTCGTCATCCTCCTCCTTCTCATCCCAAACCTCCCCCTGCTCCACTCTTTCTCCGCTCGGTAGATGACGCCCCCTCGCTCCACGGAAGGTCCCAGTGGAGGGTTGCAGTTTCATGAGCTGGCCAGTGGACCCCTACCCTTTCTTGGTTTTTCTCGATGAAGAGGGAGGGGGCTGATCCGCGTGTACGGCTGATCCCTCTAGGCGTATCGCATGTGTACACAGGGCCTTGAGGAGCTGTTATTGGCCTCGAGGCGTTCTTCCGTTCTTGCTGACTGGAGGTGGGGCTGCGAGTCTCAGCCGTGAGACGCGATCACTCACTGACTTGTTGCCGCCGCCCTTGGGATCCTCCTAAGGCCCCAAAGCGCCTCAGAGGCCCCCCTAAGAGCAAACAAAAACCTTTTCACATGACCTCAAACCGATTCCCAAGAGGCCAACCGAGACCGTGTCAATACCACGCCAAACCGTGTCAATACCACACAAATTCGTGTCAATACCACACCAAGAATTGTCAATACCACACAAAACCGTGTCAATACCACACCAAGAATTGTCAATACCACACAAAACCGTGTCAATACCACACCAAGAGTTGTCAATACCACACAAAACCGTGTCAATACCACACCAAGAATTGTCAATACCACACAAAACCGTGTCAATACCACACAAAACCGCGTCAATACCACAAAGCGAAATCCAACAACATTGACGCTCAAGAAACCTTCTAAGGAACGACCTTTGAGAGGTCGCATTGTCAAGCTTGGTTTTCGGATTTGGTTCGCGAGTGAGTGCCACGCAGGCCGTTCCCCTGGGGCAGCTAGAGCTTCGCGTCGGCCCCCGAAGGCCGAAAACATGAAGCGCATTGCCAGACCGCTCCGTAGGTCAGAGCTCAAACAAGCCGCCCCCCCTGCCGGCCTCGGCGCGTAGGGCCCCGATGCCGCCCAAGAACGCCAAGTGGGTTTCAAAGCTAAAGAAACCAGCAACACGCCGTGTGAGGAAGATGCCTAAGATGTTGAAACTGGCCCGCATGGCCAACGTGATGCTGGTGAGGAGGATTCGCGCCTTGAGGACTCAGATGCAGAATATTGCTGATGTCCCTCGGGCGAGCGGCAGTGCTAGGAACGGCGTATCCGTTCTGGCATTCTCGATGTGCTATGCTATGCTATGCTATGCTATGCGATGAAAGCAGCCTCGTCCCCCATGAGGGGCAGATCCTCTTTCACCTCGGGGGAGCAAGCAGCACAGTACAGCACGCATTGGGGCCCTTGGGGACGGCAAGGCTTCGAGCCTCATGATCAGTCACTCTCGGACGTGCTCAGCTCCTCAACATTCTGAAGTTTCTCGGTCGTCGTGCCGTCCTCCCGCGCTCTGTCGTTGTCCTTGAGCCCAGCAGCATTCGGAGAATGCGGCTTCTCGTGCTAGGCCGCCCGAGGGCGATGAAAGAACAAGCGCGCGCCCAGGCGCGCACCGTATTTCCCAATTCCAGATTTGTTTGAACAAGCCTCCTCCTCTTGCTCCTCCTCCTCCTTCCTCCTCTCCTCCTTCCCCCTCTCCTTCTCCTCCTCCTCCTCCTCCCTTTCCTCCCCCTCCTCTCCCCCCTTCCTCCTCCTCCTCCCTCTCCTCCTCCTCCTCCTGCCAGATTCAGCCTAGCATGTATCCTCCTCCACTTCCTCATCCGTGTCCTCCTCTTCCCCCTCCTCCTCCTCCGCTGCGTCCTATGCATGCTCTTGATACAGTGTTTTCTACACGCGAACTCATCGAAACCAGCATTGCTTCTAGGGTGCGCTTCGTGCTTCCAGTTTGGGAATGTGGTGTTGGCATATTTCCATCCCCCCCTCTCTCTCCTACACCCACCCCCTCCCCCCTCCTCCCTCACTCCAACGGGGGCCATCAACTCCTCTAGAGCCCACGCGCCTCTGAGTAGGAGTGCCAGGAGGAGTAGGTTGTAGGAATCGGCATGGGAGTAGAAGTAGGAGTACGTGTATGAGTAGGGTTAGAAGGATGGGGAGGAGGAGCAGGAGAAGGGAGGAAGAGGGGGATGATGATAGGAACAGTAGGATGAGGAGGAGGAGAGGAGGAAAGGAGGACAGGAGGTGGAGGAGCACGAGGAGTTGTTTTACTGAGGTTACTCCTGGCGCGTAGGCAAAGTGCACACGACGGTTTCCGAGGCTTCAGTAGAAGCACCCGAAACGATTGACCCTAGTTGAGCCCATTTTTTCTTTGATCAAACTTTGGGGTTGGGTCAACAGTGGGTTCAAGGATGCTTGCTGCACTGTCCTCGGTCTTCTCGGTCTCGGGGCCCCCATGGCATCGCCACGACTATCCGTCTCCTCAGCCTTTTTGAAGCCGAGAGTCGCTGCCCTTTCTTTTGGTCTGGCCTTCAGCTGGCCTCGATCACGCGCCCAGAAGAGATGGCCCGCAGTGATGATGAGATGGGCGCCCCGTCGGAGGCCCACGCGCCCGCAGAGGCACGACGCAAGATTGCGTCGAAGAGGCCGCCCCCAGGGCCTCCAGGGCCGCCAGGGTCATCTTCGGGCATCGAGTTTATCGTCTGCTTCTTGTGCCAGGAGGGCGGCACCCTCTCCGAGAGCTGGTTTGGCAAGCCGCTGCACCACCAATGCAAGCTCGCCGTGCGTTCCCGCAGGCGCGCCGTCATGGGCTCTGCTGCGGCTCTGAGCGACCAGGCCGACATGCACCGTGATCCCGAGAAATGGCGCGCCACGCACTTGCCCTACTTGGAAAAGGACACGCGCAGGGCCGCCATCCAGGAGCTCAAGACGAGCCAGAAGCAGGAGGAGTCCAACATGTCAGTCGAGAAAGACCTCAACGGGTGCGAAGACGTCTGGCTCACCAAGGTTCGCTTCCGTGCCTTCATGGGATTCTGGGAAGGCCTGTCCAGGGAGGAGGCCGACGAGCGCTTCGACGCCGAGTTCGACGCGAACCCGAAGTACAACAGGAGGAACCAACAGATCGTCCTCGCTGAGGGCAACGAGTACGTCAAGCACGAGGCGGGCACCGAGTCGAAGCGCGGGGTCGTGCAGACCACCCCGATCGGCGATGACGACGACGACGCGGACTATGAGGACGGCGTGGCCGATGCTCCCCGTGCTGCGAGTTCGGCGGCGAGCAGCTCTGGAGTCGAAGTGCTGCGCACTCCTGCTCACAGTCGCGGCGGCTGCCGCCGCGTGGTCGCCAAGGCCACCCCCGAGACGCTTCCCCAGCCAGCCCGCAAGAAGCTCAAGGCCACTGAGTCTCCAGAGACGCTCGGCCCCCACGCGAAGCACCTGCACGCCAAGAAGGCGCTCCAGGATGCGGTGAAGGAGATCGTGAAGGGCTTCGAGGGTAAGGCCACCACGTACGCGCGCTTAACGAAGCTGGCAGAGAGGCACAAGGGCTACGCCGACTTGCCCGAGAACTTGAAGGACGTGGTGGAGAAGTTCGCGAGCATCCAGAAGCAAGCGAAGCAGCTTGGCTTGAAAGCTGAGCGGGCTGGGCCCACTGGAGATGGCTCGGTTGCGTCGTGCACTACGGAGCTGGATTCCATGAAGGTGGAGTTGACATCTTGCTGGGCGGACGCCACGGAGCTCGTTCAGTCCTTGGAGTTGATCGACAAGGAAATGCAGACCACCAAGCGGAAGACCTACTTGCAGGACCGCCACCAGTCTCAGAAGGTGCGGGTCTAGCAACAGCGGCCACTTGCTGACCCTAGTTGTAGGAACCCTGGGACCTTTGAGACGTCTGAGACGCAACGAAACTGGAGGTCGATTGAGGAGGACGGGACTGGAGGAGGATTGAGGAGGGGACGGACTGGAAGGGAAGGCATCTGGTGGAGAGAGGATGGGATGAGTTGTTTTTTGGGGGCGGTCTTGAAGGTTGCTGGCACTCTGAACGCGTCTGGCGCGTTCGACTCGCAGCTGGCAGAGCACGTCGCCCCCTTGATCGCGCAGACCTGGGCGAAAGCTCAGGCGACCATGGTTGCTGACGAGGAGGGTGATTACAGCGCCTACTGCTTGCAGCCCGTCTCCAGCTGCGGGATCACCATGGACGCGACCATGAACGAGTTCAATCCCACAAAGCTTTTCGCTTGGAAGACTCCGTTCCCCTCCTTCCAAGAGATGCTGGTTGACATTCGCGGCCGCATCGATGAGCGCTGCAACAGGCTGAACGAAAAGATGGCAGCGAACCGTGATACTTGGTTGGGAGCTCAAGCGAACGTGGATTCCGAAAACGAGTACGGTGAGCACCTGAAGTTTCTTCCCGGCCTGGGGCTCCACCTGTGTTGCATCGTTCGCAATGCGTTGCGCTTGGGCGCGATGGCCGTGCCGCTTCCAGCTTTAGGTTGCTTCATGTCCCCCTTGAATGAGAGCATGTTCGTGTTGGTGTACGACGTTGCCGAGATCATCAATCAGGGGATTGTTTTGAAGGACATCCAGACCTTCTTGAAGAGCTCCTCTGGCGAGGGCTTCCTGAAGTCCAAGCATGCCGTTTGCGTGTACCTTCCGAAGAATGCAGTCCTTTTCGTGCCCAGCGGTTTCTATGCGCAGCCACTCTTCTACCATCCAGGCCCCAGGAATCAGAAGATCGATCCTAATTGGCTTCACTACCTGCACGTCCCTTTTTTGAACGCGGAGATCGCCAAGACCGTGGATCCAGATGTGTTCAAGGCGGCCACCGCGTTGTCTACTGTGCATTTGGCCCCGCTGCAAAGCTCGATGTGGGTTGAGCGCAGGAAGGGTTTCTCAGATTTTGTTCAGCAGGTCCTTCAGTAGGCCTCACGGGCTCCAGATGACTCCTCGAGTGGTCGAGGACTGGGGTCGCCGCAGAATAGCATAGGTAGTCGACGAGGCGTACTGTGGCTTTGGAGGGAGGTTCGAGGGGAGGAGAAGGAGAGGATGAGGAGGATGAGGAAGGGATGAGGAGCTTGACAGCATGACCCAATGCTTTAGCACAACCGCACGCACCCCCAAACCCAACCCAGAAATATTCCAGATGCCCCATCCTCAACGCAAACATCGCACACCGTGGGCCCCGTGAGGAGCATTCCCCAAACAGTCGTATGCCTAAGGTCCGAGTCCCTAAGGGTTTGAGCTCCAGAGTCCCAGCCTAGGACGCCCGATTGCGATGTAGGGTATCTGCGGTTGACCTCGATCACGAGGATCGCATCTTAAAGCAGGGCTCGGAGCCCTGAGACTTTGAGTCGCCCTGGGAGCGTGTGAAGTAAGATTGGCCACGCCCTCTTCCCACGCACATGTATAATTTCTTCCAGCGCGATTCACGGTGAACTCGAGTAGCATCCCGTTTCGTGGGATGTAGGTGACGTCGCCACGGCATCACGTATGATGGCTTTCTGTGCAGTGAGCGAGCGAGAAAATGAAAGATAGTTGCGGTGTCATCCCACCTGGCTTTGATAGATCCGATTCCTATGGATACTCCGCCTGCCCCTTATTCAATCATCCCTTCGGGAAGTCCGACTGCCCCACTGCCATCCCTTGTCGGGAAGTCCGCTTACTATGTGAAATCCCTGTGGGAAGTCCGCCTGGCCTTCCTAATGCATCGACCTAGCTATGCAGTCAACTAGCCAAATCTGCGCACTTACTTGTGCATGGGTGAGTTGAGGTGAGCATGAGCGTGTTTTGGGTGTTACCCCTTGACGTAATGGGGTGTGCTCGCCTGAGTTGGGCGGGTTTGGTTGCGGTTGGGCGCGCGCGTGTTTGTGTATTTTTTTTTTGGGGGGGGGGATGGCGCGCGAGCGGTTTGGCGGATCGGGGCTCGCTGGCGCGAGTGCGGCCTCATATGTGGTGGTATCGGATCGTCCAGCGGCCTCGCGGGGACACGTGCCCTCGATGGGGGCATCCCCGTTCTGCGTCGTCTCGGGTTGTGTCCGTTGTTGGATCCCCCTTGTCGCGCCAATTTTGACGTCGACAAAGCTGCGGGCATCTAGCCATTGGCTCTATATATAAAGAGCCTGCGTGGTGGGATGGCACGCGGCGCGTTTTGTCGTGCTAAGCTGGCTCCGCTGCGAACGCCGCGTCGTTGTTGTTCCACAGTACCTGGTTCCATCGCCGCCGTCGGGGCCAGACGATAGGCGTAGGTGCGATGACGACGAAGTGTCTTTAGTAAGGGCGCGCTTGTGGCGCGGGAGCATCAGCAAACGCTGGATAGCGCGGGCGCGTGTTCAAAGTTGTGCGCGGCGAAAAACTTTGGTTCACGATTGCGTCTTCAACGCGTTCTCTCGTGGACGCTGTGGGCGTTTGGGTGGGCAACGCAAAGGGCTGACAACAGGGGTTTGACCTGAAACCCATGTCTCAGCATCCTCTGGCTCCTCGCCCACGCCCCCCTCCCTGCATGCGTCTTTCGCCCTGTCTCCCTTCCCCCCCTTCTCTCCCCTCCCCCCTCCCCCCTCCATCCCCCCTCCCTCCCTTAGTTCCCTCGCCTGGCGACGCGCTGCGCAATGCACTCCGCCGCGAGGGCGAGCTGGGCCAGGGGTCGAGGAGGAGGGGGGCGGAGGAGGGGGAAGTTGAGAGAGGGTGGGGAGGGGGGGGGCGAACGGGGGCGGCAGGGGAGGGAAGGAAATATAAAATATGTGGACGGGATATCAGGCGGAAATGGAGGGATGGGGGTTGCGCGTGCGGTTTGTGCGGCAGGTGCTGGCATGTTGCACCCACGCGTACTATTGGTCCCCAGTATTTGCAACTCATTGCCTCAATATGTGCAACGTACTGCGTTGCGTCTGTGGGGATGCGTGGCCAATGCCTTGAAACGTCCGCATTCTTTCATGGGGCGCGTGAGCCTGGTCGTGCAGCACGTGCGTACTCATGCGCCTGGCTCGGCACCAGAGCCATACTTGCCAACACAGACATGGGCGCTCTGTGATAGAGCCAAGTGTGGATCCTATGATATGTCTGTTTGTGCACTTTCGAGGCTCCTGATATGTGGCGGGCACGCGTTGTCAAAACCCCTCCACAGGAGGACCGTCTCTTTGGGCCATCATTGGCTCGATTCGCCATCCCTGCAGGCATATGCGTACGTCAGGGTGGGTGACGTTTCACTTGCTCGTCCATATACAAAAGGCGTGGTGTTCCTTTGTCAAATTCCCGAAGTAGCGAAACGATTTATTTGTAATTCTGGTGGCGTGAGTGTGCCGATCACTTTTGAGAAATCGTTCAAGGTTTGCCAGGTATGTTGTAAGACTGTTCAAACCCTGGCGGTCGTACTTCACCGCGCGCAAAGCATGCGACTGCTTCGTTGGGATATGTTCGTTTTGGGGTTGGTTGCGTTTTTTCCTAGCCGCCCAGGTTCAGTGCGCGTTTCGGCTCACCGACATCGCGTGCGCACCTTGGAGCTCTGATTCGCATTAAGAAAGAGTTGCGCTACGCAGCGCAGGGCCGAGGCATGATATTTTGAATGATAAACGCCCGTGCCAGCGCAGACGCGTCGCTCTGGCCGGCCACCGTTGGTCACGCCATTCGAAGGCAGCGCGTGGATTTCATGCGCCGTTGACGTCCCCCGATGATTGTCCTTGGGCCGTGCTCCTTATCTTGCGTCGTTCTTTCTGCCGGCCCGTCGTCGCGACTTCTGCCCGCGCCGGCGCTTTCGTTTATGTTCGTCCCCGAAGCGCTTGACTGGCGCAGTGGTTTCCAAAACGTCTCGATTTAGTTGTCTCTCCGCATGCCCCTGGGACCGCGACCCGGTCTTGCGAGAGCGACGCTCTCAGGAAGGATCTCATTCGCTCCCTGTGTTTGCGCACTTCCGCCTTCTTTGAAAAAAGGGCATGGTTTGGTAGGGGTCGGTTTGGCCGCGCCCGAACAATTTCACAATCTGAATACCACTTCTCTCTCCGCGTCCGGGAAAGGTTCGGCCCCACTCCGCGCACTGGCTTTTTACACAGTATTCCCGGGAAACGGGTTTTCGGTTGTTTTGTATTTCAAAATGCAGCTCTCGCTGAAGCGCTGGCCTCATTTTCGGGCTACCGCTCGTTCCGAATCTTGCTCCCGCTGCAGCGCTGGCCCATTTTCCGCGCTTCCGCTCGTTCCGAACCGCGCTCCTGCTGCAGCGTTGGCGTCATAATTTCCATCGCCATGCCACGGCATGGTTGTCGGTCCTTCCAAATTGGCCCCAAAATCTAGAACATGGCCTCCCGAAAAAAACATCGTAAGTGATTACACATTCGGTGGCGAGTCGTTGATTTTTTTGGCCGCAAGAGACCCCCCCACTTCGGGGCGTTGCCACGCCATGGTATGTCAGGCTACGCGTCCTCATTTCCGCGCTTCCGCGCTTGGGTCTGTTTGTCAAAATGCGGTTCTCGCTGAAGCGCCGGCCTCATTTTCGGGCTACCGCTCGTTCCGAATCGTGCTCCCACTGCAGCGCTGGCGTATTTTCCGCGCTTCCGCTCGTTCCGAACCGCGCTCCTGCTGCAGCGTTGGCGTCATTGTTCCTAGTGCCATGCCACCACGGCATGGTTGTCGGTCCTTCCAAATAGGGCCCAAAATCTGGAACATGGCCCCCCGGAAGAGACCATTTGAAGTGATTCCACATTCGGTGCCGTTTCGTTGATTTTTGGAGCCGCAGAAGCCTCCCCACTTTGGGGCGTCGCCATGCCATGATCTGTCATGTTACGCGTTGATATTCAACACCATGCTATGCCATGTAATGCTATACCATCTTGCGACATCCGATTGTGCGAATAGAGAGGAGGAGATCAACGCCATAGTAAGGGGCGGGAGGGAAGGGTAGGACCTCAGATATGACGCGAGCGCACCTAGCTCGTTCCTCCCCCTCATCCCTCTCCCTCCTTCCCTCCTCTTCCTCCCGTCCACCCTCCCCTCGAGCCCTTCCTCCTCCTCCCGTCTTCCTCCCTTCCTTCTCCTCTCAGAGAGAGGTCGCCCTCGCCCCCCCCCCCCCGCGACCGTGCAGACGGCGGCCGACAGCGCGCCGGAGTTCGGCAGCAGCTTCCCCGCGCTGGCCTGACCCCCCGGGCACCAGAGGGGCGAACAGCCCTGGGGGGAGCCGTTCTTCGCCCGCTAAGCGTCCGAGATCTCTCGCGCGCCGCGCAGGCCCTCAAGATGCCCGTGGAGCACCTGGACAGGCCGTGCGCCCTGCTGGGCATCTACACGGGGCACAGCTCGTTGCGTGATTCCGGCCCGGAACTCCAGGCCTCCTAGACTCAAGTCGGCCTCTACAGGAGGGATATTCCCAAATAGTCAGAAAAAGTCAGGGGACGATGCTTCTAGTATTGCTCGACTATTTGTGAATATTAGTGGACTTGTTTCTTCCTCGAAAATCGCCTGTAGGAGGACATACCCGACCTAATCCTAGATGGGGTCGGAGTAGACTGGGTCGGAGGATCGCGTCGCATCGATGATGCGGCTCGATGTGGGGCCCACTATTCTCCACTCTGACGTCGCCGATGCACTGCCGACGTCGCCAGTGCATCGCCAATGTATCGGCGATGCGGCGAGATCCTTCGACCCCATCTACTCGGACCCCATCTAGGATGCCTCTAGGAACCTAACCTCCAGGTCGGTTTTCGAGGTTGCTGTGGCGATCGCGGCGGCACCAAATCGCGGCGGCCTCAGAAGTTACATGCCCATTCCCAGCTCGCCCCTCGCCCTGCGATGTAGACTAACCAAAAAGCGGCACAGAATTGCAAGCTCATGATTAACGTACAAGCGGCGCTGAAATGTCAGCTTGTGTCCAACATGGGCAGTCATGTTCCCAGAAAGGGCGTTGGCCCAGGGTTCTCTCTTGGAGGTTGACCCCCGGAATCGATTTGAGGTGGGCCGTGTAATTCCTTCTGCGATAAATAACGAGTGCTGGGTGGTCCGGCGAATTAACATTCGAAACGCTTGTGTTGCAGGAGATGTTGAGGATGTCTCGAGCGAATCGCTTACTTTGTGTTCTAGATGGTCCTCTCCTGGGGACCAGAATTCAGCGGACCATTTAGGTGAAATGCTTGTTTTCACGTGCCCAGGTCTTGAGGATGTCTCGAGCGAGACGCTTGGCTTCACGCGTCCAGGTTGCCCAGGCAGATGTCGAGCATGAGGATTTGTTGATGATGTCTCGAGCCAGACGCGTGTCTTCAAGCGTCCAGGTCGCCCAGGCGGATGTCTAGCATGAGGATGTGTTGAGGAAGTCTCGAGCCAGACGCTTGTTTGCACGTGCCCAGGTTGCCCGGGCGGATGTGGCACGTTCCGTAGCGCGTCCCTTTGGCACGTCCCGCGGTGCGTCCCCATGGCACGTCCCCTGGCACGTCGCTTGGCGCGTCCCTTGGGACGTTCCGCGGAACGTCCTCCTGGCATGTCCCCTTGTCAATTAGCTCTGGGGCAGCTACTATGTGCTCAGGCAGCTCGAGCTTAAGATCCATATCAGTTTGGTCAGGACTCGGATGCAAAGGAGGACTCGATACACAATGCTACAGAGCATAATCGCGTCATGGCACATCGCAAGTAGCACGTCGCAGCATAGCACAGCCCTCGGCACGGTACATCAAGATCGATACACTCAGCATTGCAATTTGGCACGTTCCGTGCCGCGTCCAATGGCGAGTCCCCCTGGCACGTCGCGCGGCGCGTCCCCTGGCATGTCCCGTGGCACGTGCATTGGCACGTTCCGTAGCGCGTCCCCTTGGCACGTTCTGCGGTGCGTCCCCATTGCACGTCCCGTGGCACGTCGCTTGGCGTGTCCCTTGGGACGTTCCGCGGCGCGTCCTCCTGGCATGTCCCCTTGTCAATTCTTCACGCTTCGCGTATCCCCACCAGCCCATCTCAAAACAGCAACGCTTCCGAAACATGCCGACAGTCGTGTTTTTCAGGCGTGTTTCCGCCTGCCCCCGCATATCTCCGGGCCTCTCGTCCTGGTGTGAGTCGTTCGGGCCCTTCTTCCTGGTGTGAGTCGTTCGGGCTCTTCGTCGTGGTTTGAGTCGTTCGGGCTCTTCGTCCTGGCGTGAGTCGTTCGGGCTTCTCGTGGTGTGAGTTGTTCGGGCCCTTCGTCCTGGTGTGAGTCGTTCGGGCTCCTCCTCCTGGTGTGAGTCGTTCGGGTTCCTCGTGGTGTGAGTCGTGCGGGGCCCTCGTCCTGGTGTGAGTCGTTCGGGCTCCTCGTGGTGTGAGTCGGTCGTGCCGCTCGTCCTGGTGTGAGTCGCTCGGGCCCCTCCTTGTGTGTGAGTCGTTCGGGCTCCTCGTGGTGTGAGTCGTTGGGGCCCCTCGTCCTGGGGTGAGTCGTTCGGGCTCCTCGTGGGGCCTCTTGGGGGCCTCTTGGAGCCTCTTGGGGCCTCTTGGGGGCCTCTTGGGGGCCTTGGCGGGCCTCTTGGGGGCCTCGTGGGGCCTCTGGGGGCCTCTTGGGGGCCTCGTGGGGGCCTCTTGGGGGCCTCTTGGGGCCTCTTGGGGGCCTCTTGGGGGCCTCTTGGAGGCCTCTTGGGAGGCTCCTGGGGGCCTCTTGGGGCCATCTTGGGGCCTCTTGCGACCTCCTCAGAAGCGCAAATGAGCGCTGCCCCCTGAGAAGGTCAAAATGGGGCCAAAACCTTCGTAAAATGAATGATTTTGCTATGACGGAAGATGAGCGCGGCCCCCTCAGGAGGCCAAAATGGGGCCAAAACCGTAGTAAAATAAATTATTGTTGCTTCAAAGACGAGCAGAGGGGCCAAACTCCCTCCCCCCGTCGGGGCCAGAATCCTCGTGAGGGTCGTCGTTTTTGTTGGCCCTCCCAGGAGTCGAAAAAGACCCCTCTGACCACCCGCGGGGGTCCCTCTCCAGGCCCAGGGGGAGGGGGTAGGGGGAGGGGTAAACCCCTCCCCGAAGGGGAAGAAGGGGGGTTGAGGACAGAGCGGGCTCTCTAAACCACTCACGCCCAAAGGGCTGGTGGGATTAGCTCTGGGGCAGCTACTATGTGCTCAGGCAGTTCGAGCTTAAGATCCAGATCAGTTCGGTCAGGACTCGGATGCAAAGGAGGACTCGATACACAACGCCATAGAACACAATCGCGTCATGGCACATCGCAATTCAGCACGGCGCAGCACAGCACAGCCCTCGGCACGGTACATCAAGATCGATACACTCAGCATTGCAATTTGCCCGTCGTCCGGCTGTGTTTGAAACGTTGCCATGCCTTACATGTCTGTATTCTCTTTCCGGGTTCGTGGGTCGATCATGTTTTTGGTTCGGGGTCGACCATCACGCAACCAAGAGCGGCGCGGCCTGCGCCCAGTTCTGCGCGAAGAATTTCCACCTGAAGCTGCTGCCGCGGCTGGCACAGTTCCCCGGGCGCTGGCTGGGCGACCGGCTGTGCGCGTCGCTGGTGGCCGTGCTGGCGGAGCTCGAGGCCGACTTCCGGGCCAGGCACCCCCGGCCAGTGGCAACTCATGGGGACTTTGCATTTGCTTACGCTTCCGTCTGTAGAGTGTACTGGCGCGCGGTGGCGTCCAGAAGTTGATGGGAAAAAAGCCGATGTACCACTAGTTTGAGGGAGTTCCCATGGAAGTCACGTCATCCTGACCCCCGGCGCGCGAGAAGGTCGCCTTTCCGCGCACCCCGAGGTCACAGGCCTAGAGGTTGACACCAGCACCAACGTCGGCGGTGTGCCTCCACCGAAGGAAGAAGATCCCGATCTCGGTGATGGTGGTAATATCCTGGGGTTCCAAGGTGACCGAAACATTACCACCAAGACCGAAATCTAGGATCATCTTCCCCCTGTGGCGGCAACCCCCTGTGTTGGTGTTGTTGGTAGTCATTTCCAGGCTTCCAACCAGGGGCTATTTCCAGGGATGCTCCAGGCGCGCCGGGCGTGTTCCAATCCGGCGTTTTCTCGCTCGAGACATCCTCGCAAAAATCGCCGCACGGGCCCCCGGCGGGCCCCCAGGAAGGAGGAGGAGGAGGAGGAGGAGGAGGAGGAGGAGAAGGCAGAGTAAGAGGAGGAAGGGGGAGGAGGAGGAGGAGGAGGAGGAGGAGGACGAGAAGAAAGAGGAGGAGGAGAGAGGAAGAGAAGAGGAGGAGAGGGGGGAAGAAGAGGAGGGGAGGGGGAATAGGAGGAGAGGGAGGAGGGAGGAGGAGGAGGAGGAGGAGGAGGAGGAGGAGGATGGAGGAGGAGAGAAGGAGAGAGGACGATGTGGACGAGGAGAGGACGATCGTGAGGACGAGAAGGATGAGCAGGGAGAAAGACGAAGGTGGACGGAGGAGGGAGGAGGGAGGAGGGAGGAGAGGAGAAGAGGAAAGCGAACTTGTAGATGGTGAAGCTGTGGAGGAGGAGGAGGAGGAGGAGGAGGGGGAGGAGGAGGAGAATAAGGAGGAGCAGGAGGAGGAGGAGGAGCAGGAGGAGGAGGAGGAGGAGGGATGACCTCCAAGGATCTCCGGGATCGAGGATCGAGGGTTTGACTTCAGGGGTTTCTTGGGGAGATTTGGAGAAGAGGGTGGAGGATTCGAGCATGGGAGCGGGAGCGGCTGGAGGCGTAAATGTTCAGGGTCATGGGCAGAGGCCGCACAAGCATTAGATCGGGCATGACCCCGTACCGGTGGATTTTGGACGAAAATGAAAAATCGCCAAACAGTATTCCAAAATGGTCAAAACAATAATCAAGCATCACGTATTATGTTTTGACTAGTTTTGAACATTCGTCCTGTAGAGGGACGTGCCCGACTCAAGGCAAGCAGGATGCCAGCGTTACAGCTCATCGCGAAGTTCAGCTTCGATTCCGCAGTGGCCTGCGTTTCACACGGCCTTCGGTACGCACCTGCATTCCGCCTCATATCATTACGGTGTGCGTCCACCTGCCCCCGCCCCCCCCCGGGCACCCTATGTTTAAGTCCGTCTTTCTGCAAGAGGAGTATTCAAAACGAGTAAAAACAAAACAATAGTCTCGGGGCGACTTTCCGATTTTGTTTGTGATTATGTTTGAGTTTTTTGTCTATTTTTCATTTTTCGTCCAAAATCCGCCTGTAGGGGGACGCCCGACCTATTCCTAATGGCTCGCCCACAAACATACGTTTTTTGGTTTCAGAAAGGGCTCGGGCCCAGGGTTCTTTTTGAGATGGTTACCCCCCGGGCCTCGACTTGAGGTGGGCCGGTGGAATGATTCTGCGATGGCTTGCAATAACAGGGTGGGCCAGCGGAAATGAATTTTGAAGATGTCCGGAGCGAAACGCTGGTTTTTCGAAACTCCGATTGATTAAACATATGGTATTCGTTTTTTGCGGATAGTTTTGCAGAATTGGTTGAGGATGTCTCGAGCGAAACACTTTTTTGGGAGACTTCTGGGAACCTGGACGCCCAAGGATGCCACAGGGGGCCCTGGGAGTGCGGACGCAACGTAATTTACAAGGGATCGTGGCCCTGGGAGCGCGGACGCAGCGTGAATTATATAGGGTGGATCGTGGCCAGAGGATTGCGGACTCACCGTAGTTTATTAGGGATCCTGGCCCTGGGGGGGCGGACACAGCGTAGTTCACGAGGGAACGTGGCCCTGGGAGCACGGACATAGAGCAATTCACAAGCGAGCGCGGCCCTGGGAGCGCAGACGCAGCATAGTTTACGAGGGATCGTGGGTCAGGTAGAGGACGCAGCGTAATTTACGATGGAGCGCGGCCCTGGGAGCGCGGACGCATCGTAATTTACGATAGGCCCTGCCCCTGGGTCAGGGACGTCCCGCGGCGCGTTCCCTGATGCGTTCCCTGGCACGTTCCCTGGCGCGTCGCCTGGCACGTTTCTTCGCACGTTCCGTGGCGCGTCCCGTGGCGAGTCCCCCTGGCACGTCGCGCGGCGCGTCCCCGGGCACGTCCCGTGGCACGTCCATTGGCACGTTCCGTAGCGCGTCCCCTTGGCACGTCCCGCGGTGTGTCCGCATGGCACGTCCCCGGGCACGTTCCGTGGCGCGTCCTATAGGACGTTCTGAGGCGAGTTTTCTTTGCAGGCCCCCCTGTCATTTAACTCTGGAGCAGCTGCTATGTGCTCAGGCAGCTCGAGCTTATCCAGATCAGTTCGTTCAGGACCCAGATGCAAAGGAGGACTCGGTCCACACCGCTATAGAGCACAATCGCGGCATGGCATATCGGAATTCAGCACGGCGCAGCACAGCACAGCTTTTGGCACGGTACGTCAAGATCGATACACTCAGCTTTGCAACCTGGCACCTTCCGTGGCGCGTCCAATGGCGAGTCCCCCTGGCACGTCGCGTGGCGCGTTTCCTGGCGCGTCCCGTGGCACGTGCATTGGCACGTTCCGTAGCGTGTCTCTTTGGCACGTCCCTCGGTGCGTCCCCATGGCACGTTCCCTGGCACGTCCCCTTGCGCGTCCCTTGGGACTTTCCGCGGCGCATCCCTCTTGCATGTCCTCCTGAGAGTTAGCTCTGGGGCAGCTACTATGTGCTCAGGCAGCTCGAGGTTAAGATCCAGATCAGTTCGGTCAGGACTAGGATGCAACGGGGGACTCGATCCACACCTTTACGGAGCACAATCGCGGAATGGCACGTCGCAGTTCAGCACGGCGCAGCACAGCACAGCCTTTGGCACGGTACGTCAACATCGATACATTCAGCATTGCAGTTGCCCGTCGCTCAATCGGGTGTCTTGAAAATGTTGCGATGCCTTACGTTACAATATGTTTTTCCGGATTCGTGGGTCGAGCATGCTTCTATATACAAGCGCTCCCGGTCAACCGCAGGGCGGCCAGCTAGTAATCGATGAGAAAACGCCGATCCAGCGCCGATGAGCGTTGATTGAGCGTCGACTCACGTCGATAAGCGTCTGTCAGCGTCGATTCGCAGGAGCCAGTAAGATGACATGGGGAGGCTCCCATGGTTTGCCACAGAAAGGAGGCAGTTGTTTTTACAATTTGTTCGGCGATAACCCAGATTATCCGGTGGGGGCAGGAGGGGGGGGCGGCCGATAACCTAACCTGTACGCTTTGGGCAGCCCCACGCATGCCCGGGCTTACCAGTACTGTGTACAGGGGAGACCCATGCCAAGAAACACCCCGTTCGCCTCCAGGGTGCCTTGGGTTCCTTGGGTTTCGATGATTTTGCGATGGAAAGCGTGACGTTCCCACACCAAACATCAATGGACGTCTTGGGGTCCCCGGGTTGGGTTTCTTGTGGAAGGTTTCTTGTGGTCGAGCCCCTATTCTACCCATTAGGACCTGCGCAACCGAACAGGTGAGGCTAGCCGAGGAGGGACTGGGGCAGACGGGCCCAATAACCGAGGGTATCGCCAGACCCTGAAACATCGGGAGGAGAAAATATGCACAGGCACACAGTGGAGGCCCATGCCAAGACACATCATGCTTGCCCCCAGGGTTCCCTGGGTTTCTTGAGTTTCGATGGTTTTGCGGTGCAAGCGGTGACCTTCCCACACCGAAAATGAATGGACGCCCTGGGGTCTCAGGTTTAGGTTTCTCGTGGAAGGTTTCTTGTGGATTCGTCTGCGCTGTAGACAATGATTCCGGGGAAATATGGGAACATATGGGAGGTGGCGGGGAAGGCGAACTCCCAGACCAGAGGTACAAACACGGATAATCTCGGGATGCGTGCTTGTTTCTGTGTGTGTGTGTCCCTGGCCCACTTTTTTGTTTATTCATTTTATGTATCGAGATCAAAGAAGCAAGTTAATATCTATACATATATATATTTATATATATATATATATATATATATATATATAAGACTGCAGTGGCGCTTCGCGCCATGCACCTTGGTCCTTGAAGTTTGGTATGCAGGCGGAATAGCAGGAAGATCAAGCCGATAATTTAGCGATACCTCCTGGTTGCCTTTTCTGGCATCGCCGCTGTAATAATGTTTTTCGTTATCCTTCCTCCATGCTTCTTTTTCCTTATTTTCGCAATGCCCTCCGCATTCTCCCCATCCTCCTCAGCTCTTTTTTGCGTAGGCTCCTCCTTGGAGAGCTTCTAGGAGCCTCACAAAAGTTGTTTCAGGCTTTCTTAAGGCCTTCTGGAGACCTCCTGGGCGTGTTCTGAGGGCCTCTGGGGGCCTCCTCGGGCCACCCTGCCTCCAACCGCGGTCTCCCTGAACGACCGAATCACGATTTGGAATTCTTCGGAGGGTGTCTCTGGGGCATCTTGGGCCGCCAGGGGGCTCTCTGAGGGCCATCTTGGACCCATGTTGTGCCGTTTTGGGGCTACCTTGGACTGCTTGGAAGCCCTTTCGGATGGTTGGGGGGCGATTTGGGAGCCCCCCAGGCGGCTTCGGACGCCCAGAAGACCGCCGTCTTGGAGCGTCGGGAAGCCGAATAGAGGAGAACCGCAGACTTCACCAACAACCAACAGAAAATCAATGATTTTTGCCTCGGGGGGCCTTCTTGGGAGTGCTCTTGGAGGCATCTTTGGGGCCGTCCTGGAGGCCTCTTGGGCCATCTTGAGGTCACGTCGGTCACTCTTGGAGCGCTCTTGTGCTGTCTCGGGGGTCTCCGGGACGTCTCCAATGACCCCCCTGATCGCCCTAGGTGTGCTGGGAAGGCTTGGCAAAACGCCATGTCAGGCCCGGTGGCCGCTTCGAGGCCCGTCTGGAGGGTCCCAAAGCCCCAGATCCCGGGAGTCCGGTTTTTTTGGGGGGGGGGACGGGTTTTCCCCCCGCCCGGGCTTATAAACATATAGGAAGAGGAATACACACATATATATATATATATATATATATATGGAGAGAGAGGTAAGTGTATATATATACACATAGATAAGACGAAACGTATATGTATGTATAGATATATTGTTTATATATAATATAGAGAGAGATTACGCACAAAAAAAGTCTCGAGGCACCCGGGCGCCGCGGACGCCTGCTCCGCGGCGGTCGCGCTGGTCGTGGGCGCGCAGCTGGCCGTCTGCCTGGCGGGGCGCTCGGCGTGCCTGCTGCTCGGCGCCGGGGCGCGGGCCGTGCCCGCCGCCCCGCCGGCGGGCGCGCGGCGCCGGGCGCTGAACGAGGCCGCAGAGCGCAACTCGGACGGGGCTCTCCTCCCTCCTCCTTCTCCTCCCTCCTCCTCCCCTCCCTCCCTCCTCCCTCCTCCTCCTCCTCCTCCTCCTCCTCCTCCTCCTCCTCCTCCTCCTCCTCCTCCTCCTCCTCCTCCTCGGGCGGGGCTAGGGCGACGATAAATCCGTTCCAGAGCGTTCCGGAGCGCTCTCAGAGCATTCCGGAACGCTCTGAGAAGGCCGCGGCGCCCGAGACATTCTCCAGAACCGCCGGATCTCAGAGGTTCTCGATTTGTCTCTACCCGAATTTATCTTTGTCCTGGCTTCGTGCAGCCACAGGGGGGGGGCACAGGGGGGATCAGAGGAGGAACAGGTACCCATACCGCTGCCCTCCGCCCGTTTTCTCCTTTTTGCGCCGCTTGGGAGGCCCTCGTCGCCATCGCTGGAGCGCCTCGAAATTCTAGTCACAACGCACCCCGGGAGAGGTCCAGAGAGTAGCGGAGTGGGTACATTTTGGCTTCCCAAAGGGGGATGGGTAGCAACTCATGAGAGCCTTGTATGTCCTCGAAAGTATAATTCCAGAATGCATCTTGGCGTGTGACAGCGTTTTTTGTGATCTATAAGAAAGTGCAGACTCAACATCGAATAGCCTCGATTTGGCGTTAACGAGCGTCGATTGGCGTCGGCCAGCGTCGATTCGCAAGGGCCAGCAAGATGGTGCGAGAGGCTTTCGTGAGTTGACACCGAAAGATAGGCCCGGGGGGGGAGACGTTTCGAGGTTAGAGGTTTCCAGGCGCTTTCGTCGGTCCTCTGCGATTCTCCAGCTTCGAGGTGCCTTCCAGCGGCTGCGCCTCGCCGAGGGCGTGCCAGGGCTGCCTGGATCGTCCCGAACGGCCGCCAGAGAGGCGAGTTACGAGCGGAAAACCAGGGGACAAAGTCGGGGGGGATGGGATCAGGGGGGGATGCATCGACCCACAACCGCCCATTCATCGCCCATAGGTGCCCGGTAACCCTCTCCCGCCCAGGAACGTGCGGATTCGCTATCGGGGGCTGGGCCTATCGCCGATCCATCGGCGATGGTATTATGCCAAAGAAAAAGAAAGCATACATTTTCATGGAAATCTGAAAATATTGGACATGAAGGGGAAGAGGAAATTCCAGGACATAGGGAAAACAGGGGAATCTTGGAATCCGCGTCAAATTATTTAGTCGCTTCGCTCACTCTGCCGGCCCATCTTGCATCACTGGTGCTATACGTTTATGTTTTCGTGGCGAGAGAAAAAGGACGAGGAGGAGGAAGGGGGGAAGACGGGGGGATGAGGATGGGGAGGAGGTCTCTGGAGGGTTTTTTGTGCCAATTTTTGGCGAAACTTGTCATGGACAAGGCGCCTCTGAGGGAGTCGCTTGGGGTCTTCTGGGAGGCTTCTCGAGGGCCATGTGGCGGTGTGTTGGTGATATCCTGCGTGTCTCGTGGGAGCCTCTTTGGAGCCTCCTGGGGCGTCACCAGGGCCTCTTGGGGTTCTCTTGGGGCCTCTCGGGGGCATCTTGGGAGCTTCTTGGGGGCTTCTTTGGGCCTCCAGGGTACCTCTCTGCGCCTCGAGCTCGAACTGTTCGATCGGGTCCCCCGTCTGGGCCCGCTCTTGGGCGGCCCCGTGCGCGCGAACTAGAAATACTGTTAACCAGTTGCCGGAGATCTCAGCACGCCCTTGGCCCGTTGGGCTGGCAATTTCCGCCTCAGAGGACATAGGCTCAGGGGTAACGTTGGGGGCCCGCTATCCCACCCTGCCCAGGACCGTGTGGATTCGCTCTCAGGGGCTCAGGAGGGAACACTGATTACAATCGACCCGCATAGTCAGGGTTATCACTTTTCGGAAGTTACCCTTGCATCCTCCCCCATTCGGCCCATCCTTAGCGACTTTCGCTGGCTAACCTCGCTTGAAATACGTTACCGTGGCCCTTCAAGGCCCTGGCATCCTAACCGCGCATCCTGATTATACGGGCTGACTGTACCATATGTCGTATGTCAGAATTCTGGGGCCCCGGGCCCGAGCCGGCACACCCTCCCGGATGAACCCCCACCCCTGGGCCTTTTGGGTTTCTTCTGGCCTGGCCGCGCAAAGCACCTTCCGGTGAGCACGGAGAAGCGACGAGAGCGGCGCTACGAGGGCCCGAGACGCCCCGAGATGGCGTCCAGACGGCATTTTTGGCACCCCGATGGCCAAGATTGCCGCATTCCTTCCAAGAGAACGTAGATGTTTAGCAGTTGCGTTTTGTGGGAATCTTCACGTCGTCCCAGACGGCCCCCGAGGCCGCAAGACACCCCCCTAAAATACCCTAGGCGGTCCCCAGAGAGCCCCGAGATGGTCCAGGAGGTACCGTCCAAGAGGTGCCCAAGATTGCCTAATAGGGCCCCAAGAGAGGCCCCAAGGGGGGAACCCGAACTCACATTTCGAGCCCTCCGCCCCAAGTGGACCCCCGAGGCCGCCAGCAGGCCCCCAGGACGCCCTCAAGGGCCCCCAAAGAGGTCCCAAGAGGCCCCTAACGGTCCCCAAGAGGCCCTGAGAAGCTTCAGAATTCGCTCCACGAGGCGCCCGAGAAGCATGCCAAGAGATTCTTCAGTACAGGTGTCCAAGGCGTCTCTGGCCGAAAACTCAGGCACGAAGGCGGTATGGGCCGAAGGCCTTGGCCTGGCGACGCGGACATCCCTATGCAGTCACGTGTAGCGCAGGGCGCAGCCCTTACTCCTTACATTGCGCGCCGCGTGACTGAGCTGGTAGCAGCTGCTGCGGAGCAAGCGTGAACAGGCGCGCAGATTTCCGTGTGGCGATCCGCGTGAAGGGGGGTGCCGAATAATCCAGGTGCTTCCGTGCGAACCCGCCCACTGAGGCCGCAGGTGGAGCTCTTGGTGGGGCACGACCCGCGTGAGGCATGTGCCAACAAAAATGTGTGGGGAGACGGCATGCGAAGTTGCCCAGTGGTGCCATAGGTCATAGGTGGAGCTCGTGCCAGAGCACGATTCGCGTGAACAGTGTGCCGACATGGGCGGACGGACGACGGGGCCGTGGTGGGTGCTCCCTGTGGGGCACGTTCCGCGTGAGGGGTGTGCCACAAAAGGGGGGGGTGGGCGCTATGCAAACCCTGTCTCTCGGGCCGTCAGTGGAGGCGGGAGGGGGAAGCGAACCTTGTCTTTGGGGCCGTAGATGGAAATCCCTGCAGGGCACGATCCTTGTGAGAGGTGTGCCGACGTGAGTTGGGTGACGTTTCGCGCAGCTTCCTTTTAGGTGCAGATACCAGCGAGGCAGCTCTATCCGCGTAAGGGGTGTGTCGCTATGCGTTGGGTCCGTAGGTTGAGATCCCTGTGGGGCACGATCTCTGTGAGGGGTGTGTCAATATGGGTGGGGGGCCGTAGGCGGAGCTCCCTGCGGGCATGATCCGTATGACGGATGTGCCAAACAGGCGGAGAGACGCTATTCAAAAATGTATGCCCACGATAGCGCAGGTGTTCCCACGTGGTGATCGTGGTGGGACCGCTTGCGTACCCATCCGCTGATTGTTGTGACGCTGGCTATGCCTTGGCTAGAACATAGGCGCGCGAAGCGCACGTGCTGTTCTAGTGAAGATATATTTCCCCACATCCTAAGTGGGGTTCTTGTTTTCTCTGCACACCCTCCGCGCAGGATCTCTCCTCCTCCTCCTCCCTCTCCTCTGCTCCTCTTTGCTTCCTCCTCCGCGAGCCTCGTCTGTGAGTGAATTGTGAGGAAGTCTCAGGCGGGAGCCCCCCCCCTATGGGGCCCGCACTTCATGTTTGAATCCGCGCGGGTCATCCGCAACGTGCAACTGTCGTCACTTTTGGGCCCTTGAGATATGAATATGGAGGAAGTTTCGAGCGGGAGCCTCGTCTGTGAGTGAATTGTGAGGAAGTCTCAGGCGGGAGCCCCCTCCCGATGGGGCCCGCACTTCATGTTTGAATCCGCGCGGGTCATTCGCAACGTGCAACCGTCGTCACTTTTGGGCTCTTGAGACTTGAATCTGGAAGAAGTCTCGAGCGGTAGCCTCGTCTGTGAGTGAATTGCGATGAAGTCTCAGGCGGGAGCCCCCTCCATATGGGGCCCGCACTTCATGTTTGAATCCGAGCGGGTCATCCGCAAGGTGCAACTGTCGTCACGTTTGGGCTCGTGGGACTTGAATATGGAGGAAGTCTTGAGCGGGAGCCTCGTCTGTGAGTGAATTGCGAGGAAGTCTCAGGCGGGAGCCCCCTCCCTATGGGGCCAGCACTTCATGTTTGAATCCGAGCGGGTCGTCCGCAACGTGCAACCGTCGTCACTTTTGTGCTATTGAGATTTGAATATTGAGGAAGTCTCGAGCGGGAGCCTCGTCTTTGAGTGAATTGTGAGGAAGTCTCAGGCGGGAGCCCCCTCCCTATGGGGCCCGCGCTTCATGTTTGAATCCGAGCGGGTCATCCGCAACGTGCATCTGTCATCACTTTTGGGCTCTTGAGATATGAATATGGAGGAAG